ATCTCGTATGCAGAGTGCGAGGTGTGGATCTGAAGCAGGACTTTGCTTTTATCGTATGTATTTTTTTTTCTTTTTTGCCTTCCCAGAAGGCGATGAATGTGTTCGTATGAATGTTCGTATTTACGGTTGATTGATTGCATCCCGTGAGAGAGAGAGAGAGAGAGAGAGAGAGAGAGAGAGAGATCTTGTTGGCTGTATATTGTGCTCCCTGCTTGTCAGAGGGCTCATGTTGGGAAGGGGTGGGGTGTGATCGGATTCACGCAGTGTGTGTGAGTTGTTGCTCAGACGTAAGTGAGGGTTTGGTCAGCATCAGGGGGTTCGATACGAAATTGGGGTGGCTTGGTCGGTTAATTGTCTCTCCTTCTTTGTATAATGTGCCTTATGTAGATAGGGAACACTGTAACTGAGCAGAGTGCTTCAGACAGGGAACAATATCTATGCCATCCCTCCATGATGATTTCTTGGGATTCACTGTTTTGAAATTTGAATGCTTGTTGGGGATATATCTATAGGGGGTGTGTCTTCTGTCCGACAGGGGGGAAATGACATCTAGGGCGTGCGTGTTCCATCGTTGTCCATAGCTGGTTTGGTAGCTTGGAGAAGATGTGGGAGTTGGTTGCACCTTGGGAAATGTCTGTTATTGTTGTGGGGGATGAAGTCATGTGTCGTGGTTGTGTGGAGGTGAGAGGTGCATTGTGGTGTGGGAGAACTTGTGTGAGGTGGGTGGTAAGCAGATAACCAGAGAGAAGGGAACACCATGTTTGTGGTTTCTGTTTTTTTGTATGCGTGTGGTTGCGTTCCTTGAGACTGATTTTTGGCCGGGGTGGTGGGTGCAAAATGGGTGCGGGTGTTGTGGGTTTAGGGTAGGAAAAGGGTGGTTGTGGAATTAATTATTACTGGTGTTTAGGTTGCGCTCACTGCTCGGGAACGGTCAGAACGAACGAACGTCTCTCTCTCTAAGAATGCATGTGGACGTGTAGGGAGCCAAGTGCTGGTTGTGGAATTAATTATTACTGGTGTTTAGGTTGCGCTCACTGCTCGGGAACGGCCGGAACGAACGAACGTCTCTCTCTCTAAGAATGCATGTGGACGTGTAGGGAGCCAAGTGCTCCCTACACATCCTGTCTCTTATACACATCTAGATGTGTATAAGAGACAGGTGTTTAGGTTGCGCTCACTGCTCGGGAACGGCCGGAACGAACGAACGTCTCTCTCTCTAAGAATGCATGTGGACGTGTAGGGAGCCAAGTGCTCCCTACACATCAATATCAGCGGTGCCAATATCAAGCAGCGGACCTTAGCCCAGTCCTGGATTACCAGTGGGACATTTCGATCTCAAAAAATCTGAGTGCATTCTGATACCCTTGCAAGTGATGTACATGGCTCCCTACATGCCCAGGTACTTGGGATGTACTTGGATGGGTACGAAGGCAGGTCATCCAGGTGCCGTCTTTCAGATACGCTTGCCGCGTTTCACATTTGGCAAGTGGTACAGCACAAAAAGCAATCCCTTTTTTTTTTTTTTGCCCCGTACGTTCTGTTGCTGCACAATTGTTGTTTAGATGTCTGGTTTTATGGCTGTAATTGCGGTCAGATTCAGTCAGGACGTTCTGTTGCCGCACATCTTAGATGTGTGCTTGCATTGCTTTGGTGTCTCAGGGCATCTACTCACATCACAGTATGGCTTTTTTGACCGACCTTCTGGCTGTAATTGCGCTCAAATTCAGTCAGGACGGGGTCGTAATTGAGGTCAGATTCATTCAGGGAAGCACTGGCGTAGAGTATGCTCTCACTGTTCATGGGAAGGGGGTTGTAAATTCTGCATATGTATTATACTAATAGTTACAGTATTATCAATTTATCATACTATTATGTAAGGGAAAAAACACCATTTTCCCCTTCTGCACTGTGGAACTATGCTTGCCGGTGATAAGCAATCGGACCGCTGCCCCCCAGAATAGAAGGGGCTTTGTTTTTTTGTTTTGGCAAAAAAAAAAGCGGGTTGTAAATTCAACATATTGTACATATCTCTAGGCTACCAGAGTGGCCCGGGACCACTTGCCCGGCCGGGCCAAAGAAATAAATAATTATATTCAGCCTCCTGATGAGTCGGTGAAACTCCGACGAAACAGTTTGTCACAGCCCCTCGTTTGTTGTCCTCTTGTCTCTCTCTGCCTATGGTTTTACCGGGCAGTTCTGTTTGTGACGATATATATAATCTTCTCTCTCTCTGCCTACGGTTTACCGGGCAGTTCTGTTTGTGACGATATATATAGCAGTTCTGTTCGACGATATTTGGCCTCCTGATGAGTCCACTTGTGGTGGACGTTGATACCTGTTGTTATTCACAATTTTTTTTTTTAATTCATAATTTTTTTTTCTGCCATGCTTATCTTCTTCTGTATCGTCCCAATTTTAATGGATACCTGTTGTTGTTATTCACAATTATTTAATTATTATTTTGAATCTTATCTGTACTGTGCAGGAGTTCACGGATCACCGAGACGCAGACGATGCGGTGCACTATTTGAATGGAAAGGACGTTGATGGCAGTCGACTTGTGGTGGAATTTGCTCGGCCAAGAGTGAGTGTTTGTTTGTTTGTTTGTTTGTTTGTTTTTGGGCGTGCTAACTTTGTGGTCTGTTTGTAGACACGTAGTAGCTATCGAGATTAAGGGCATTTTCAGGCTGGCACCTTCCTAAATGTATCTGACTGCAATTACGGCCACACATGGATGAATCTGACTGCAATCATGTCCAGGAGGGTACAAAAAAAAAGTCGTAGATTGAGAGTTTACCCCAGGTTGAGAACAACATGCCGATGGTGGGTCTTGTTCAGCTTTCGACGCGAACTAGAATTCGGGAAAGTGGAGCGAACGGATGCCTGAGGGCATAACAACACACTTCAGACCAGAAAAAAAAAACTTTGTTTCCTTGATGAATCTAGTGTCCAACAGTGACTAAATTCATTCAGGAAAGTGCTATGTGAGTCTGTCTGGCCTTAATATATGTGTTACGAGCCTCGTACTTTGTCAACTCAACTCGGAACACGTTACATCGGCCAATCAAGTAATACAATCTGTTGGTTCATACATCGGCCAATCAAGTAATACAATCTGTTGGTTCACGCATCGAACCGTTGAAATATAGACTCGAGTTGGAATCCAGATGCTACCAGATGACAAGAATAAAGGCATATTCTGAATTTCCTGGGGCCGGTCAGATCCACCAGTTTGTGTTTGACTGGACCGGCTGCGCTTATACATTGATGGCCAACCAGTTTGTCTCTGACAGGAAGGACTGGCCGGGCTTATCTTTTTCTTCTTCTTCTTCTTCTTCTGAAAACAAAGGATAAGCCTTCTTCTTCTTCTTCTTCTTCTTCTTCTTCTTCTGAAAACAAAGGATAGGCCTTCTTCTTCTTCTTCTTCTTCTTCTAAGAGGGGGTAGGCCCCCTAACCTTGTTGTACGCGACAGGACATGATCTCTTAATCTGTTTATATGCCTATACCTGAGCCACAATCCATGTGATGAGTTGGCATATCCAACGGGTGTGCACTCTTTCATCAACTAATCAATGGTCGGTTCTTCTTCTTTCCTCCTCCTCTTCTTCTTCTTCTTCTTCTTCTTTCTTCTTCTTCTTTCTTCTTTCTTCTTCTTTCTTCTTTCTTCTTCGTCTTCTTCGTCTTCTTTGTCTTCTTGGTCTTCTTTGTCTTATGTGATGAGTTGGCATATCCAACGGGTGTGCACTCTTTCATCAACTAATCAATGGTCGGTTCTTCTTCTTTCCTCCTCCTCCTCTTCTTCTTCTTCTTTCCTCTTCTTCTTTCTTCTTCTTCGTTCTGCTTCTTTCTTCTTTGTCTTCCTTGTCTTCTTGGTCTTCTTTGTCTTCTTTGTCCTCGTTTCAAAAAGCTGATAGGCCCAAAGTTCATTGTATCAAACAGGATTCGAACTCTTCATCTCTTCGTAAACAGTCACACGTGTACCATTCAGCCGCAGGGCAGGGTACTGGAGCGAGCTATATTTGTTTACAGACTTTCACATCCAACGTGGTTGGAGCTCTTTGCCTGTTTATTAACCGCTGCACCATCCAGCCACATGGCTGGTACAGTATTGAGGTTCTTTTGAATTTTCACATGTGCATGTCAAGAAGGAATCCTTTTTTTTTTTTTTTTCCCGCAGTTGGTTCTGTTGCAGGTTATTTCTAGATGCTGGGTGGTCTTCCATCTCTCTTCTTTCCGCCCTGCCTAATGAAATTGTCTCTCTTTGTGATGACAGGGGACTGGAGCGTCGAATTGGACAGGGGGACCGCGGCGCAAACCATATGGAGGAGGAGGAGGAGGAGGAGGAGGAGGGGGTGGAGGAGGTGGAGGAGGAGGAGGAGGGGGAGGAGGACCCATCGACCGAAGGGTATGTTATACTATGTTATGTTCTATGGTCAGGAGGCCACCTTGGTCACCTGATTGTGGGCTTTGGTGCCATCGTCATTTTACTTGCGTATTTATTTCTTATTTAGTATTTACCCTTGCTTTGAAACTTGGGCATCTAGCCTCCCCTTTGTCCTGTTCGTTACTTTTCAGTGTCATCCTGACTCTTTTTCTTTTTCCTTCTTCTTTCGCTGCACGTCCTCTCTCTCCATTGGGGGAACATGCATTTTGCTGCTCTACCCATTTTGTCTTGGGGCAGAGTCTCATGATGGCTTCCAGCAGTCGATCCCCTGTAATTCGTTCATGCCCACGAATAGCGAATGCACGTATGTTGCAATTTTGCTCCTTGTATCTGCTGAATGTTTGGCTTCAGCTGATTGGACGTGTAAAAGGTAAATAAATGAACAAATAAACTGAGTGGGGATCCGGGCCGCCCGGGTGACCGGCAGGGGCCCAGGGGAGGTCCCCGGCGGCCTGGCGGGGCAGGGCACCCGGTTGGGGGCCGGGCCCCCCCCAGCGCAGTCACCTGTCGGGGGATTTTGGACCCCCTTTGTGTGTGTGTGTGTGTGTGTGTGTG